TTTGTTGCTGATCAGTGTCATTGTGGTCAATAAAACTGGGATTTTTCCTTATCCTTTTCCTTATCTTGGCTTAAATTTTTAGTGAGCCCTGAATTAAAAAAAAAACCAAACAACCAACAACAAATCACCCCACTCCCACCAACCCCAAACCCAACACCCTTGCAAAAGGAATTTCTAAACTCAAAATACAGAGTGAATTTGCAATTCCCTACTAGCAGGTTGAACTTTGATTATAGTCATCAGTGAGAATATCTAATGAAGTCCACTTGGCTTTGGATTCAGCCAAAGACAGTGATGCCTGAATCAGTTACCTATGTGTAGATGCTTACATGAGAGCTAGGTGTCAGGTCAATGGAGAACTTACCAATTAGTGGAGACCAGAGAGCTGCTCATCAGTTATTCATTTCATCAAATATAGGTATGGATTAAAGGGTGAGCTGAACAGTTCTCTAGATTCTATCAATTATAATGACTAGACCTCCATTACATAAAGTGGCAGTTGACATAGCTAATTCATATGTATACACTCATTTTAGGTACCTTAATCTGCAAACTAAATTTTTATCCCAAAAGATAAATAGAGATTAAAGCTGCCTTCACTACCAGAGTACCATCCAATATTGGGAATGCTTTTGCTCCTATGCAAATGCTTTATTTTATAAAAGCTTCCAAAGCACCACAATTTCTCCATGATAAAACATTCTGCTGCTTGCCACTTTGGTACTGAGATTTTACAACTTAGAGCTCAGAGGGTTTTGATGGAATGTAAACCTTTTGGCATTGCTGAGTGTCCATAATTGTATGTGTATCCATGGTAACTACAGGAGAGAAAGTACGGGTGTATAATTCTTCTTCAGTAACACAATGTTATGTTTTTCTTGGTAGACAAAGAGATGTTAGCGAGTCATAAACATATTAAACAGAATATCAACAGCATATTAAACAGAATATCAAACTTGCACATATCCTCCTTACCAGCAAAACGGAAATTGTTTTAGTAAAATTTTAATGTGTGGTAATAGTTCAGGAATATAGGTACAAAATTTCCGGAGCTTCTGTTTTGAATAAAGGTGGGCAAACTAACGTCAGATCAATCATTTCAGGTAAATTTCCTTTCTTGTAATCTGGAGCTTCTGTTTTGAATAAAGGTGGGCAATCATTTCAGGTAAATTTCCTTTCTTGTAATCCTACAGTTTAATAGAAAAGTCATAACTAATCATGCCAATCTTGTTGCTTACCACAGAAAGGGCTAAATTACTCTCTGACTAATCCAAGTGGATTTTACACCCTGTTAATGTACTATATTCCTCTGTGATAGCCTAAACATGTTCATGTAACTGTTTTCATATGGTGTAAATGACTCCAGAATCAACATGATACTGACTGTACTGCTATATTTTAAGTAAGGCTTTTTTTTCCTTGTTTTTATGTTTTATTATTTTCAGTTAGAAAAAATTCAGAATATTTTAGACACAGTTATGACTGTTATTTTAAAAGCAAAAATATCTGGACACCATTTTTGTTTTATACTTTCCATCTCCTTCAAGCATTAGGGGTCTACAGAGGTTTGCATATGCATAGAAAATAGATGTACCTGAAGAGACACAAACTTGAAAAACAAAAGCCATCTTGCTGTAAAAGAGAAAGAAAAAAGTCCACTTTTATATACAGGTAAACTGGTTTCTAAATGGAAGATTTTTTTTTCCAATTTTCCATGAGTTTTCAGCTGCTTTCTAATGGGACATACAAACTGAAGAAGGAATGCAAGCATAGGTTCTGATCCCACAGCAATTTTTTTCTCCAGCTACTGGCCCACAGAAATTTGGCATCTGTGGTTTCCCAGCCATGAAAGTAATCCATTGAGTGGAAATCTGGGGGATTTTTTCTGCTTTTTTTTTTCTTCCCATCTCTGAGATACTAAATTTGGTGTTTTGATGTCCTTCACAATGTCAGAGACTGATTATGCTTAGCACAGTTTCTATTTAAAGAAATAAGACTGGGAGTCATCAAGTTAGTATTTTCTGACAGCATTACTAAGTTATGTTTTTCTCTGTTTTCCCCCTTCAGCCATGAAGCTGGGGGGTGGGGAGAGGAGAGAAGATAATTAAATAAAATTTACAGTCATTGCATTTTGCTAACAATTTAATTACAAATCCAACAAAGATAAGAATAAGACTGTAGGAAGCTTTTAATCCTTCCTGAGAAATCTGTCATGGAGGAGCCCTCATTGTAAAAAGGGATAGGTCCAGTGTAGGAATCATACGGAAGAAAACCTCCATTCTGGAGCAGGGTCAGAGAATAAGAATAAGGACTATAATCCAGTTTCCCTGTAAGTACCTACAGCCTTTGAGGAAAGACCCCCTCTTCATTTTTCCAACTAAAATGCTTCAAAGTCTCTCATTCCTGCACTGGTAAGGTAGGAAAGTAAAAGATCTAGACTCAGTTGTATTCCATTAACTGCATGTCTGATGTTGGAGAGTACGATAACCTCAAGAAATTGGAGTAACAGAGCTCTAGAAGAAGGATAAACTGATTGCACAGAACTGTAGAGCTGGAAAGCCTCTTGGATGCTCAGTACAAAGCATCACGCACTCCTATTCCAAGGGAGAATCAACTCTAACTTTTGTGACTTTTGATATTTGTTTGTCTACTCTGCACTTAGAAACCTCAAATGACTTCCCAAGTTAATGACTTCCAACGATTCAGTCTCTTTTATCATTCAGTAAGTTTTTCTTACAATAGCCATGCCAAATTATGCAGCTTGCATGTATTGTCCTGTTCCTGGATACATTCATAACATGCAGTCATGGAACCAGAGTGATCTAGTCTGATGATGTGCCTTTTGGCAGCAATTTTTCTTCGAAAGGAAAAGGCTAGTCTGATACATTAAATAATTCTGTGCTGGATCCGTAGCTAATTGATTTGTTCTCATTTTAAGTGTTGTCCTGGAAGTGTCACAGTGTATCTCAATATGTGAAGGTAGCTGGTTCAGTAACTGTGATGATAAACAACAAAACCTACTGAAGTTTAAAGCTACTTAGTAGTAAATAAGAAAGCCTTAAGTAATCTTAACAGTGCTCTGAGCAATACACTTTAGAGGTTCTGGGACCTTTGTATAGTTCTTTTAGAAGGCTGCATGGGATGGAAATATCACCCACTTCTGATGGAAGTAGACTCAATTCTCTAAGGAACCTGTGGATCTGGAATTCTGTGTGTAGGAGAGAGTGAGCTGGATGTAATTCAAATATCATCCTTCAAAAAACACTCAAAGAACTGGTATAAAAGTATCCATGAAATCTCTTTGCTCTTTTTCTCAGTGGAGTCTGGCTCCTGGAACAGAAATGAATTATGGAAAACAGTGTGTTAACATAGGATGGAGGAAGGAGCCTTGGAAATAAAGGGCATGTCCATGTCTATATGGCTTAACCTGCTACAGAATTCCCATAATCTACCCATATATACAGGAATTGTGGTTATGGGTGCCAAATCCATCTATGTTGAAACTTGCAATAGATTCCATTTTGCCAAGAATCAATGGAAATTCCATTCAGACATCCCAGTTTATTCACCTCTTGGCTTTTCTTGCTGATTTACCATGGGATGGGAGGCAGAAGGGAAAGATAAGTTTCCAATTAAGTGCCACAAAGCTCGAAGTGGTTGTTTGGTACCCCTCTCCTGGTGGACGATAGCATGCCACTTAAGCTATACACCTATGATGGCCTGGGAGTTTAATCTGAAAAATAAGTGGGTTTTTTTCCATATGCTGTACCATCATATTAGAGATCTGTGGAAGTACTTAAGTGACATTCCTCACAATTTCAAAGGAAGACTCTATGAAAGACTTTATTCATGGTTCACTGTAAACTTCTGAACTTAACTTCCTTTGCTGATCAGCCACAATAGCATTTGTTAACCTTATAGGCATGGCACAAAGCCCTTATTTTCCCTTGTTTGAAAGGTGGTGGGGAAAATAATTTAAAATAAATATCAAACATTATTTTTTAATTGGGTCACTGTATTATGCATAATTTTTCATAGACAATTTAAATAATTTTAATGATGTAAATGTATGTAATGTACTGTGCTACAGAAGATGTATGATTTAACTGTAATAATAAGATTTTTATTTGGGGTTTTTACTCTGAAGACAGCTAAGGAAAAACACAGAGCTTCCCAAAACC